GAGTGCACCTGTGCTTGTGCATTTACATTTGGGCACTATAATCCTGCCCTGCGCCAATGGCTAGCCTCCGTTGAGGCAGGCTGCTGTGGCCGAAATTCGGTCTGGAGGACATTATTATTATTATTATTATTGAATAAAAATCTTTCTATTTCTGTCTAGTAATTAGTAAAGGACCTAAGACTTGCAAGTCTTAATAATTTAATATGTAATAGTATTTATGGGTTTTATTATTACCACACTCATAAACACAAATGCAACTGTTGACAGCAATTTAAAATATCACATACTCGGTGGTGAAGAAAAACATTGCGAGGACATGCAGGTTATATCTGAGCGATAAAAACGAAGACAGGTGAAGTGCAGCAACACACACTAGAGCATGGACTTATTATTGTTCGATAACCTCTTAGAGATTAGGGAGGCTTTGTGCCTTATTAACTGTGACGTATTAAAGCTGTAACTTGTAATTATAATTTTACCAGCGAGTATTATAAATGTTTAGCCCTCTTTCATATGTGTTTGGCCCGAGGTAAGCTGATTTAGTATGTTAAATTATAATGAGGTTGTGTTTTGCGGCATTTATTGCAAGAAAAAAGATATATCACAAAGGTATATTGTATTTATATTACAGATCTCATTAGTCTTTTAATTTGGGAGTTTTCGTCAGTAGAAAACGTAATTATAATAATTAATGATAATGAGTCAGATAGATATATAGTCAGAGAGAGAGATATACTCACTAGCATGCTCGGACGACTGAAAGCGGTGATTACAGCAAGGGGGGGTCCACTCCACTTTAAACTTCTATCTGCTTTTATATTATTAAAAATAAAACAAACAAAAAGCGAGCAGGTATACTAAAACTAGCGCTTTGAACTTTAGCAATAATTCTTATTAATTTATCAAAATGTTACAGTAAAACTGATGAAAAACGTTTCTTGACAATTAATTTACAAAAAAAATGGAGTAAGAAAAGGGTTTGTCAATTAGTGCGGGTAGAATTTGGCGGCCCGTGGCGGCCATTTTGTTTTGGTGATATCTATCAAATCTTTGATTTATTATTCAGTTACTTATGCCAAATCATCATTATACCATGGCAAGTTACACGATTGAACAGCACGTTCAAATTATACGTGGTAGAGCCACGCTGGAGCTATATTATGGTTGTAGCATGAATGGGTCGGCTCGAAGGACCACGCTCTCACAGAATACTAGCGTAAAATAGCAGCTTAATGCCGTTGTTATTTGTATGGTGAGTGTAGAGTACCGGAGACCCGTTTTACTGGAATCGAGGCATTCCATCTTAGTCCTCAAGGGTGACAACGCATCTGCATTTTGATTCTTAATCAAGGTAAAATGTAGATATCCATGGGCCAGAGCATCCACTTACCATCAGGTGGACTGTGTGCTCGTTTGTCACCCTTATCCTATAAAAAAATTATAAAATTTTATTATCAAAATGAGTCTTCATTGGTGCAATCGTAGCGCGCATTTCGCCTTTTTACAACAGACATGGTGGCCCTTCACAGTCGACTCTTCAACGTTTGGTGGCCAAATTTAAAACGATCGGTTCGGTAAACAATTAGCCAACACCAGTACGTTTAAGGAACGCAAGATTAGCCGAGAACATCGTCGCGGTTGATGAAAGTTTACAGCAGTACACGAGGCAGTCGATTTTTCGCCGTGCGTAAGAACTCAGCACTTCGCAGACTGCAGCTTGGCTAATTTTGCGTCAGGACTTAGGTTTACACCCGTACAAGATCCAACTGACCCAGTAGCTTAAAGTTCGTGACCATAGACAACGCTGTTTGTTCACTGACTGGGATTCGAATCGTTTGGAAGAACACCCCAATTTTGGCCGAAAAATCATCTTTAGCGATGAGGCGTATTTTTGGATGAATGGCTGTGTTAACAAGCAGAATTGCCGTATATGGGATGACACCAACCCACGCGAGGTTCACCAGGTGATAATGCATCCTCAAAAAGTTACCGTTTGGTGTGGATTTTGGGCCGGCGGCGTAACCCTGGTCCTGTTCCCTACTTTTTCGAAAACGACACTGGTAAGGCGGTAACTGTCAAAGGCGAGTGCTACAGAACAATGATAACCAATTTTTTATAGCCCAAATTGAACCATATGGACCTAGATGACATATGGTTCCAGAAGAACGGCGCTACGTGCACACAGCGGACTCCACGATTGACAATTCCCATGTGGTGTCATGTCATGGTGGATGTCAATTAGCCACCAAAGTCACGCAATTTGACCCAACTAGACATTTTCAGCAGATCTATGGAAATAAACCACAATCGACCGATACCGATAACTTTGATTCAAAATAATTAATTATTTTGTATCAAAGTTAAAACTTAGTTTTTATTATAATTTCCAAAATATTTAAAATGACATGTAACAAAATAACTTACTCCATTAATTATATAGTCTCCCGTTAATGTGGTATAATCACACCACAAAGGCGGAAAAGTGGCAACATTTAACCTAAATCGCAATATTCGATAATTATACGTTTATATGAAAACATGAACTAAAACATGTGTGGAAAGTGATTTATTATGTTTTTGTGACTTTAAATCGCATTCTTTCACTACGTATTTACCCAATTTTTGTCGCGGATCGTCCGCCTCAACTCGGCGTCACATTGAACACTGAACTGACGTTAGCTAGGCATATGGATGTGGCAATATGTGCAGTGGCAACGCTTTAGCGCGGTAATTACTAATCTAGTTTCATTTCAACATCTACCCGCCCTTATTGAAAAAGCCTTTATAAGACTACCTAAAGTTATCCAACAATCTAATAGTAACAATAAAATGGGTCCCTTGCTTAGGTGCCCGTTTTTTGGAAAATATATAATATTCAATTCTATTCCAAGTGTAGTGTCTAGTAAATTTAAAAGACGGCTATTGCTGCGACAATTCGCCTATCCTAACAAGGCCAGTATCCATCATATATCCAGCAGTGGTCTGATTCCGGTTGACGAAGAGCCACGGAGTTGTGGAACTTGGTGTTGTGTCGTTGGCTAGTCTACGTGATAAGAACCACTAATAACCACAGTAAGCGTTCAGTCTGAAATAACTCACAACACAGCCGAAAAAAGGAAGTTCATCCCCGAACTACATGAAAAAAGATAGTTTTCGAATTTATTTTTATACATTTCTCAAACACTGGTTTTGACTTGACAATACTGCTTGTGTAGAAAAGGGCTCAGTTGCTGATCAATGTATATTAAAAGTTACTAAATAGAGGAATCAAGGGTAGTTAATTAGCGTATAAGCAAAACTTAACTGTGTCATAACTTCTAAAGATTTTAGAGAAAGGAAATTTTATACTATTTTCATAATTAACTCATAATATGCCTGAAGATATAATTAATAATTAGCAGAGCAATTTATCTATACGCATAATTAATTATGATCGCATGTACAAAGGTTTCATTTTGATAAAGTTGTAATTAAAAGAAAAGAAAAGTTAACCCTCTTTCTAAATTAACATCCCATCTTGTTAAAATTTTTATTCATTTACACGGATATATAAGGACAGTGATTTTATTTATTTATTTAATATTTAAGGTTCATCTTACAAAACAATATAAGATCAAATGGCAGACAAGTATTATCTGCCAGTCAACCTTAGGGCAGTGATAATCCGATACCATTACGAAGGCGGTTACAGAGAACATAAAAATATATTATAAAAGTAATTACACACACATGCATATTATACATATACATTTATAAAATAAAAGACAATTGAATATAAGATACATTACATACTGATTAAACGAAGAACGAAGATAGAGATAACGGTAATGATGACGGAGCTTAGCAGTTTACGAAGTTTTAGAAAAGGAGCCCGAGCATTCGTCTCAAATGTTTGTTTGCTGGTCGGTTGTCTTAACTTTTTAGGCAGGTTATTTCATAAGCGAGCGGCTTGGACAGCAAAGAATGAAGATACAAAATTCAAACTGTGAACAGGAATGAAGAGAGCAGGAGTCATCGGTAAACGAAGCTGTCTATCATGAGTGTCACGCAGGAATTGAAATTTATATTTCAGATAATTTAAGTCAGTTAACGAACAAAATAGAAACCACTGCGTTAAGTGTCCTAACGTGTCTTCGCTGATAATAGAAAGCTGATAATCGCTGATAACAGGAAGCAGTTAAGCTGAGAGCGGAATGAGGAAACATTATGAAACTTGTGAAGACGACTACTACTATTCGGTAAACGAACTGCTAAAAATAAAAGAACGTTTCTATTGACTGTTAAACGCTGTTTCTTATTTGATTGTGTTTTAAAGGATTAATATTAAAATTGTAAAGTGATGCACGTTTAATTTTACTTAAATTTTGTATATTGTCACAATAAGTTGATTAGTAAATAAGTTTTCATATACCAAAATTGGTGAAATATGTGATACATTATTATTTTATAAGAACATCTTTGTACCATATTTCTTGTGAATAAATTTATTATTTATTTATTTATATTTATTTAAGATAAAACAGAATTTATACTGCATTTGAATGCATTTCTTTAGATGTATTTTATGTTCTATATGGTCTTATGATGGGCTGTAGTGAATAAAATGTAATATTTGCTCATTTTACATTAAGGCCTTCGCTTCAACAATTTACCTTTGTTTTGTACCCAATTTGGTCAAAATTTTTAAATATACGCTGTGTGATTTGTACAGAATTCGCATGTACAGAATTGAGAAATTACAAGGATTCTTTGAATGTCAGCGGAACCTTAAAACAAAGACATATGCAATTGTTAAAAATATGAATCTTTTACGAGGGAACATCATATATATCATACGAACTCAAATTTTTACAGCGTCGCTGGAATAGACTCGCAAATTAGGACTTTCTAGTTATTGAGTGCGGCCATGTCGTAATCACGAAGATAAAGGAATCACGACCTGGATCACTGTAGAAATATTCTCCGTGGATGTTTATACATTATACAGATCGGTTAGTTAACTAAATAGGCAGAAATCTATTCTCTTTTTGCAATTTCGGATATAAATAATAAAGCACGGCTAAAGCAAGACAAAATTTGCGCTGTAGAGTGAGGGTTTCGTTATTTAAAATCTCATTCTTTGCACAGCAGCCATAGCAATTTTTTCTGCACAGCAGCCATAAATGTTTTCTGCACAGCAGCCATAGCAATGTTTCCTGCACAACAGTCATAGCAATGTTTTCTGCACAACAGCCATAGCAATGTTTTCTGCACAGCAGCCATAGCAATGTTTTCTGCACAACAGCCATAGCAATGTTTTCTGCACAACAGCCATAGCAATGTTTTCTGCACAGCAGCCATAGCAATGTTTTCAGCACAACAGCCATAGCAATGTTTTCTGCACAACAGCCATAGCAATGTTTTTTGCACAGCAGCCATAGCAATGTTTTCTGCACAACAGCCATAGCAATGTTTTCTGCACAACAGCCATAGCAATGTTTTCTGCACACCAGCCATAGCAATGTTTTCTGCACAACAGCCATAGCAATGTTTTCTGCACAACAGCCATAGCAATGTTTTCTGCACAGCAGCCATAGCAATTTTTTCTGCACAGCAGCCATAGCAATGTTTTCTGCACAGCAGCCATAGCAATATGCGCTTTGTGTACGGACGCGTTGTCGGGCAAAAGTAGCAAGCTTTTGTACAATTTCCGTGCCTTTCTTTTCACAGCGTCTCAAGCATTCCATTATGCACCTAAACGCCTTTATCTTTTATAATCAATCCAAATGTTTACTTTTTAATCTAAAAACTTAGGCTATGACTTTTCCAGCTTATTAGGGAACTTCTTGAGGGTATGGGTTTTGCAACTGCATCGAGGACTATTTAGTATTTGGCTTTACTAATGAATCCAAGATGTGTCTCCAGTAAGAATCTGACCCAAAACTTCTTCATTGTTCTTTTTCAAAGGTTCAAAATTGCGGCAACACACAATTTAAAATGTCAAGATAATCATTTTAAAAACAGACATTTTCCAATTTTCTGTTTTCCTCATTTTTTCCGCAGTGAGTGGGTGTTTTTCAAATTGTTTCTCCTGTTTTAAAAAAAATCTACTAAAGTTTAATGAAAATCATGTGATTGTATTAAAATATAGTATAAAAAAAGCCCTCACCACACTCTAACCCAAACAAAAAGTAAATTGTCAATTTACTCGTTTTTACCTCTCCTTGTATAATTTTAATATTATATAGGAAATACAACAGGATAAGGCCAATTCTAATATAGACAATACGTCAGGATAAGGTTAGTTGGTAAAAATAGTATAAGTGTGGGAGTGGATGTTAAACTTGCTCTCTTGCTTACGCAGTTAATCATTATCAATATCAGTAATAAAACAGAGTAACGCACTCTATATTCATTATAGAGCAATTACAGTTCGACCATACTACATGGTCGAACATACTAATAAATAACAGTTCGACCGTAATATGTTCACGTCACAATTATACACTGGAGTAACGTGAAAGGACATAATTACATGATGTATTTACGAAAGTATGAAAACCAACAGCACCACCACCTACCTCAGAGGGTAACATAGAATAGCCTCTCAGCGATACCATCCTCAATGCCTGTACCAAAAGAACTACCACGACACTATCTTAGCACTCATAGAATGATTTCACTCGTAGAATGACTTCAGCGAAATCACTTGCGCACGGTGCCCACAGTGAACTTTAAACTGCACAAACTACCACATTACCTTCCCGATATACCACGCCACCATAGATATGACATTTCGGTAAAGTGATGCAACTTCTTGCTCACTCTCGATCTAACCGGTATTTTATAAACGCGCCGATAAGTATAATTTTATTTCGCTTTATAAACCCACGCTCATCTAAAACATACGTATATTTTAGGTTGAATTATGTCTCTCAAACTAAGTCTTGTGAGTTTCGATGCTTAAAATTGTTAATTAATCGTTATCTGTGGGGAAGATTAATGTTCTTCGCTGAGTTCATTATTTTAGTTAACTAATTTGAAGTGCGACATTGTTACCTTAGGCGCCATATGAATAATTAAAATGGTTGAAGTGAAAACACTGTAACATTTTGTTAAAAGTTAAAGCACAAAGGAACTTTCAAAAAGTGGAATATTTTATAATTCTCGAAGTATAACTTTGTTCTTCTAAAAGAGTGAAACTCGTCTAAACCTGAATTAATTAGATATACTTCTTTTTATACAACTACTTAACAGATTTTTCACATTTAATTTTATTTATTTTTTATCTCTTGACGTTTCAGGGATTTGAAGCACCCCTGGGTCTCGGAGGATTTTGAGGAGTTTATGAACCTTTAAGACGAGCTTCCATTAGGACATTTAACAAGCCGTCGAAGAAGATTAGTCATGATTAACTGTCAAGTGTTATATAATTCTAAAAAGATGCAGGTGTGTACAAGCTTGATTGTGAGTGTGGTCTCCTTTATATAGGACAAACAATTAGATCAATAAAAACTGAATAAATGAACTTATAAGTAAAACACCAACGCTGTAAGAAATGTGCAGTGTGTGATCATATCCTAGATCATATCCGCTATTGAATCAGATTTGATAGACCACAAATCCTCGCGACAGAACATCGATTCCTACCAGGTATGAATTTTAAAGCTGTCGATATTTAAAAAAAATATCCTAATTTTAAACAGAAAAGGCGATTGGATAGCTACCACCTGCTTGGGATTTTGAAACATAAGTATAACATAAAATCCAAACCCAAGCATACTACTGCAAGACTACAAGACACGGTAAGTGCATTCCGTGTAGATCGGACCAAACTTAATACTTAAAAATAAAGTCAATTAGGAGTACCTTCAGCTTTTAATTCACCTCCCATCACAATGGCTATGGATTATATGAATAAATAAGGAAACGTCGGGATAATAATAAAAATAAATTAAAGTAATTAAACGCGATAAAATCCGTAAATAATAGTTTTATTCAATAAATAAGGAAAATTAAAAGAGATAAAATCCGTACAAGTACCTAGTTTTATTCAGTGTTCGCGTAAATATAAGAAATCTTTATGAAATCCAGTATATTTCATCCTATTTCATTGAAAAATGCCGCCGCAACGAAGCCGGCGATGTACAACCCGCCAAAGCTAACTTGAGGCTTCGCTCAGATGTACGTCATCTCGCGCCGTACTAATTAAGAGTAAAAAGTAGGGAATGTTTGTCGAATATGCAAAATGTGCGTTTTTTCGTGATTACATCTTCCGTCATTATCGGATAGACTGGAAAACCACCAAATAAACAGCAATCATGTTATAAATAATAATAGGTATTAAAAAAAATGCGTTCGACCCTACAGGCCATCCCTGCAACTTCAAGAGAGAGAAAGTGGTTCAAGATAGAATTTTTATGAAATTTTAAAGAATCCCTATAGAAACGTATCAAAATTTTCAAGTTATTTTGAAAAAAATAAATGCTTTGTCGAGATCTTTCGACAACGATATCTCTCGAACGAATAAACCGATTTCGATGCGGTTTGTAGCAATCAACGTCGTTTTTTGACTAGAAGAGCTGATTCGATAGAATTAATCAAAGCGAGGGTGTCGAAGTAATTCCAAAAAGTATTTTTCGGAAAAATAAGAAAACTCGAATATTTGAGTTTTCTCAAAATCTACCGAGCCGATTCGTTCTAAATTCAGAAATCTAAGTTCAGTGAGGCTCTTTCAGATACCACAAACCGCTTTTCGATAGGACATTTCATTACAGTCATGAGATGTTTACATACATACATACATACATACATACATACATACATACATACACACACACACACACACACACACACACACACACACACACACACACACACACACACACACACACACACACGCACGCACGCACGCACGCACGCACGCACGCACGCACATACACACACACACACACACACACACACACAAACACAAACACACACACACACACGCATACGAACATCATCGCCAAAATAGTCAGATTAGCTTTCTAGGACCTCGAAACGTCGAGATACACGATTTTCGAAAATTGAAGTGAAAACAATAATTTCCCGATTTTTTAAAAATTATTGATTTTCATAGGCCAATTTAAAATTTCAATAGAGCAAATGCGTGGGGTCGTTTTTTTATTTGTTGTCAGTACCGACGCGTCAATGTCGACAGCGGTAAGCGGCTTGGGGCCGGAAGTTGTAAGTAATCTTACTCAAAGCTTTAAAACAACCAACACCGTCCCGTCAACTGTTTTGTATTATCCACCACACTGGCTTAAACAGGCTACCATATTGTTTTATATTAACTTAACTAAACTTTTATTTATGTATGAATGTAAGTAATGGAATTTTATTCTTTACAGTGTACAGCCCTCTTCCAGACGTTATTATGTAAAATTTGTAGATTAAGAATCGATCGAAACCACTAGGATCATCATAACTCATACTATGCACTCATCAATGCGTGTTGTTATGGTTTTTTTAGCTAATTTACAATTAGTAGATACTGAATGAAATAAATATGAAATGGTAATGAATCCGAGATCACTATAAAGGTCAGGGATGCATCAGTGCGAGTTATTCTAATGCACATTAAGTATGCACTTGCATTTCTTTACCAGTTTTATACGATAGCCATCACGTTTCCGTACAATGAGCGATGTAAGTTTCTAACGGTAGAAATTTAAACTTTTTCCAATTAGCATAGCTTTGGTCTGACCGTCATGTAATTAGACCAGTTTAACGCGTTCTACCAAAAAGTTATATTAAATTTATAAATTTTAATGTAATTTGTTATTGTTTGTCGTATTGACCTTATTGGACCTGAAGACTGTACCTATGCTCCAGACTATAATAGTTTATAATATATACTATATCCAGTTGTATTATAGTATATAATATATACTATAATACAATAATACAGCTGGAGTTGTAGTGTAGTATTAAAGTGAGTGTAGACAACCAGATATTATTGTCACTAAAAATGAAGCATTCCATCTCATACCTCAGGGGTGTCAACGCATCTGGATTTAGACATTTCCGAGTGATGTAAATATCTATAGGCTCGACCGGGAACGGCTCTCACAAAATATCAGCGTAACTCCAGTGTTTCGTATAGTGAGTTATAGAAAACAGAAGACTTTTAATGGAAACGTGACATTCCATCTTAGCCCTCACAGGTGATAACGTATCTGCATTTTCATTCTTTATAGAGGATAGATGTAGATGTCTACGGGCCACAGCATCCACTTACCATCAGGTGGACTGTGTGCTTGCTTGTCATCGTTACTCTATTAAAAAATAAATAGGTAAGAGGGTGGTGCTATCGTGGGCAGATAAGTATAACATATAAAATTATCCTTTTTTATTGGCGTCCCCCCACTAAATTTAGTGACGACTTGGTAAGACATGCAGAAAGTTGATAGATGCAGGTGTGACCTATTCTGTTGTATTTGCTCAGGGGAAGTTTATGTTCAGCAGTAGACTTCTAAAATCCTTTTTTTATAGCTTTGGGTGACAAACGAGCACACAGTCCACCTGGTGGTAAGTGGATGTTTTGGCCCATAGTCATCTATAATTACTTTAATTAAGAATCAAAATGCAAGTGCGTTGTCACCCCTGAGGAGTAAGAAGGAATGCCTCGATTCCAGTTAAATGGGTCTCGGGTTCTCTACACTCACCATACGAAACACAGCAGCATTACGCTGCTATTTTACGCTGGTATTCTGTGAGAGCGTGGTCCTGCCCCGGTTGAGCCGACCCATTCATGCTACAACTATAATATAGCTGCAGCTTGGCTCTACCACGTGAAAAAAATCAAAAAATATCCTGTAATGATAATGTAAAATATAAGACCTTTATTTAAATTGATTTGGCACTAATTGGAGTGCGCTCGACTAAATCCTGTACGTGGTTTCTGAAGCCGTAATTGTACATTCCGGGCACAGCTCAGGTACCGGGGGACAACATTTTGGTTTGGATGTAAATCCTACAGTGAATACAATTAATGCTTCGGTTTACTAGTTTGGTACTTTATTGTTAGATAACAAAGTCGCAAGGCCGCCTTTACCGAAATATTTATTAGATTCATAAAGCAATATCATTTGTACTATTTTAGCTCTTAGAACTTACGAGTAGAATATAATCTTAATGATGTATATTAAGTATACAATGCTTGAAAGACACTAGAATAAAATTGTGTAAGCAACTTATGACGGTTTGTTGTACCGTTTTTATTTATGCTCTTCGTATAATATACCTGCTATTTTTTACCTTTGGGTGACAAACGAGCACACAATCCACATGATGGTAAGGGGATGCTATGGCCGATAGATATCCACATTTATCCTTAATTAAGAATCCTAATGCAAATGAGTTGTCACCCGTGAGAACTAAGATGGAATGCCTCCGTCTCCGGTTCTCTACACTCACCATACGAAACACAGACAACATATAAAACATATAAAATTATCCTTCCAGAATCCAGAAAACATATAAAATTATCCTTTTTTATTGGCGAATTTAGTGACGACTTGGTAAGACATGCAGAAAGTTGATAGATGCAGGTGTGACCTATTCTGTTGTATTGATTAGGGGAAGTTTATGTTCACCAGTAGGCTTCTAAAATCCTTTTTTTATAGCTTTGGGTGACAAACGAGCACACAGTCCACCTGGTGGTAAGTGGATGTTGTGGCCCATAGTCATCATCTACAATTACTTTAATTAAGAATCAAAATGCAAGTGCGTTGTCACCCCTGAGGAGTAAGAAGGAATACCCCGATTCCAGTAAAACGGGTCTCCGGTTCTCTATACTCACCATACGAAACACAGCAACATTACGCTGCTATTTTATGCTGGTATTCTGTGAGAGCGTGGTCCTGCCCCGGCCGAGCCGACCCATTCGTGCGTAATAGTTGTATAATATAACTACGTACGTGTATAATATAACAGCGTGGCTCTAACACGTAAAAACGAATCGTAGCTAAATTCCGAAATCGCGAGTTAATTAGCTAAAAGTTTTAACTTTATGAAATACAAGATTCGTAAAAGTTATTATAAAAATGCTACATTAGTAGGCAGCTATTTAAGAAAACTATCGTACTTAATAGTAGGTATATAGTAGGTAATTATTATAACATCATACCGTGTAGAGGCGGTGTAAGAATATAGAGGGCGACAGAGGGTAACAAATCAGGAGATGCTTAGCAGCGTCTTCCTTATAACAACTACATATATATATATATATATATATATATATATATATATATATATATACATATATATATACATATATATATATATATATATATATATATATATATATATATATATATATATATAAAACTTTTATAATATTAAAATACTACGGTTGCCTTGTCAAGCGTGGCAACTATGACAAATATCCCCCTATGAGGCAATATATGGGGGAGGCCTACGTTCAGCAGTGGACTTTTACAGTAACTTTGCTGTAACGGTAACGGTACAACTCATAGAATTTACCCACGACACTTTGGTGTTTAAAATGAATCTAAAGACACCTTACACTCCATATAAGCAAATCCTTTATGTTGGGTGAAAGCTTTCAATTATGGGACAACAGAAAATCTCATTCCGGTTCTCGATATTCGAAACTGAATATAGGAAATACTATATTTCAACATGAATCGTGGCCTCTTTAGTCCACGAGGGTAAAAAATATTATATTTAGATACTGCTAAAATGACACTGTTTGGTAGAAGCTTATCAGAATCCCATCTTGTACCACGAATAACAGTTAATTGCAGAAAATCTCATGCATGGTACTAATATGGGAGAAATGGGCTATAGAAATTACAGCGTTTCATTTTCATTTTCTAGTTGACATCGATTTCTTTACAGTGTACATACAGCATACATGTAGAAAATTTATCACAATGCTCAAAATGTTGTCGCTTTGAAATATGCCCGATTTTATACTGACCTTTAAGACTCTAACGACATCTTGCGGAAACTGCATTAAAGCTGTACTTGTGACCCGCCTGTAGATTCTGTCCACGAATATTCCCGCTCTAATGGCGTGTGCAACTGATCTGAACTTCGGCTTTTCGTCGGACTTTCTTTTCGACGTCGCCAGCTGCCTCGTGAAGGTCGACGCCAGCCATTCTCGTACTTCGGGTGGTACAGCGTCAGGTTGAACCTCAGAGAGCTCGTCATCTTCATCCGCCAGCCGCCTGCGTATACCCATAGAAAATATTAGAAGCGCATTTTAACTTTCAACGCAAAAGCCCGACGACATAAGCAGTTTCACGACCGATTAAAATAAGTTTTGACGTTTTCTAAATGCTAGCTGAATTAAGTCAGTATAATGCGACTTGAATGGGAAAAATCCCTTGCCTCTTTATCACGTGATTTCAGTTCGCCCATACACATATTACATGTTAGGCTGCAAAGCTTAACATGGAAGCCTTTGTTAATAATCCCCAAATGATATTTCTAGGACTTCCAACCTTTTTACTTCAAATTAAGAAGAATCTATTATATCAATGTTGCTATAAACCATACATTAAACTTAAGGCTTTTATAAATTCAATCAATAATGTAATAAATTACAGCATGTTTTTTATAATATTTATTTACAAAGTATGAAATAAGACTGAATTATTTAAATACAACGTAAAGATATTTGTATTTATGATTTATTTCTGAAACCAGTCGATTCAGTGTATAAGTTTATAACATAAAATTTGACACAAACACTTACGTAGAAGAACTGCACAATTAAATTAAAATACGATTAAATTTTGTCCATATTAAAGCAGGTAATTCCATATTTCAAGACTAACTTATAGATAAACTATAGGCCTATTAATCGAAATTAAGATAAAATTCTACATCTAAATGTGTACATACTTATTTTTACTCTTCTATCTTTAGCTATATAAAATAAAGTTACCAAAAATATAACAAATATTTCTTATCAGAATATCATTAAACTATATATGCGAAGTAATTTCTCTAAATTTATAAAGTTAATGTATATAACTAGTGTAGATATTGTTTAAAGCAAAGTCTCATCTACAGATAGTTGTAACTTTTTTATTAGAATTAATAATCTTGATTATGTCTAGAGATAGGTCGAATATTCGTTTTATATATTCGGTACTCGGCATATTCGGTAGCTTTACCGAATATCCGGCTAAATCACCGAACACTCGTTAAAGTGGTATTTAAAACGTACGAACTTGAAAGAATAATTGAGTAATGCCATGCCTTTCATAATTTTACTGTTGAAAGTACATATATTTATGATTTAAATCTACTTGTATAGCATTATGTTTTTGAGGCGCTGTAGATTTATTTCCAATTATAGCAAATAGAAAGCTAGAATTTTTTTTCTTTTTGGAATTAAACAAAGAAACATTATATTACCTTAGTATATTTCACTTTACTTTGGTCGTCACTTTCTCTAAAATAAGTCCAAATAGTTGATCTCCTGCCACTCATTTTTATCATATATATATATATATATATATATATATATATATATATATATATATATATATATATAGACATAATTATCATTTTTTACTAAGAATAACACAACCAAATAGTTTTTTTCTCACGGAAATAGTCAAAACAAGCATGTGCCGGCAATTTGCTTAGTAATAGATGATGTAATAAAATGTCAGGTGTAGCGGAGGAGCGAGGGCAGGGTCCGGCGCTAATCCCACGCACTTTACAATAACAAGTTTCGACATAAAGTGGTTAGATACCGAGGTGATCCTGCCGAATAATGTTCAGCCGAATATTCGTATTCGGTGAAATCCATATTCGGCCTATCTCTAATTATGTCTAGGTGAAACTTTGCATGACAATTGACTATCAAAGCTTTTAAAGAAGTTTAAAAAATATTTTTAAGTCTTTTACATAGTTCTTTCTTAAATATTTTTTATTTCAGAAGTTTATTTTAGGGATTAAGTTTATTTAAAGAAAAATAAGTTGTTAGAAAAAAGAAGATGTAGGGAAATACCACGTGCATGATATATTAAACGGACAATGATAAGGAATGGTAAAGGTGCCTAATTATATTCATTTCATCTACAATACTTACATGCAACCTGCTCTAGAGCAAATTTTATCATTCACGCTGTTTTCCATTTTATTACAAATTTGCTATTACATGCAATTGATAAGTTGTATGAATAATAATTATAACTTAAAATAAATACTTTGAACGTTTTATATAGTTGACGTAATTTTAAATGAATTAATTACGATACTTCAGTATTAATTGTTTTATCATTTTCTAATGTCATCCTAAGAAGAACTCATGGTTCAACATAGACATAATGTGGTTACAGAACACCTTGACACGAAGTTGTTAATGTAAATAATAAAGAATTATTTTTATAAATTAAATATTTTTAACATCTGCATTCTTAAATAATATATTTGATTATATTTTCAAAAAAGGTTTAATAAAATTAAAGTACATTAAAGTAGTTAACTTGGTTTGTACTATTCTTTAAAAAAAATCTGAGTTTTACCATTGTACATTATAGAGCGAAATTCTTTTAACTTACATTAGCTTAAGTGTACATTGTTTAAATCACCTTTTAATTAAATTTACATGAAGAAGTTAATTGTAGGCCATTAGAGTATATTAAAATACACCGCTCTAAAAGATATGAAATGAAAAATAGAAATATTACGTTAATTCTGATACGGTCGAGCTAAAAATAACTGACATAAATTACAACATATTAATCACAGATATTTACTAAAAAGTACTTACTAATCGTAAGAAAATAAAAAACAGGCTCACAATGGAAAGCAACCACTAATGCAATATAATATAATACACACGACAGAATAAGCGGGGCTCATTAAGGGTGCTCATTGTTAATTTTTATTGCCACTTGAAGAAAACAAGATAGGAAAAATCGTGATGTGGCTGTGAAGAAATCTAAACAAGACCGCGAATATTTATGAAGTAAATTAAATGCAAACAAAAGGCTCCCGTTCTCTGATGCTGGTGCTTTGACTTTCAAACTAGAATCTGGAACAGAATTACTCGTTGGAAATAATCGCGTGGGTAGTTTTGAAGTATTCTACTATGCAAATTAATTATTTGTTATTAAAGAGAAAATTTTAAGATAATTACGGAAATATCCTTACTAAATTACATTTAACACAAAGTTTTATTTATTTATAAAAAGTTTTTCTTTTATAGAAAGGTGTACGAATAGTATTTGAGCTAATAGAACTTGTCCAGTTTCTAGTTGCTTCATGTCTATGTGAAGGCTTATGTTGTGATTCAAGTGGCAATAGGGATTAAAATATTTGGTAACATCGACACACCTAAACACCAGGGTCGGCGCTGACTGCTGGCGCGCCACGGCCGGTCTAAAATCAAACACGCCGTCATTGTCACAGCCAAGGAATACGGTAGGATACATTACGAGCAACATTTAAAATCGGTTGCCTATCAAGTTAGTCGTAAAATAAATGTATGTTAATATTTAATCTAAAATATCAATAGAATATTAAAGAAACATGACCAAGACTATGATCAAGGCAACCGATTCATACAAATAACATTAGTATATGATACAGAAATGTGTTCTTTTAAATATTAAGATAAAAATAAAATAAAAGATAAATGATGGTATGATTAAAAAAGCATCTTTTGGTAATAACAGGTGATAAAGATAGTGCAACTTAAAGTAATTCTGTATAATAGTAAAAATAAATAATTGAAAATCATGTATGAGATGAAAGCCAAGACATTGGTATATACAGTTGTAAAAGGGTCACCCAGCCTTACAAATATGTAGAAACCACATGCCTCCAACAATGAATCGAAAATAATAGGGGAAGACTTTCACAAGGAGTTCAAAACGTCATTGAAGGGTTGAGACTAATCTAAACGTACAAAGAAATCAACTATTCTACGAAACAGATTTATCCAAGTGAGAACAAGTTAGGTGATACTCTTTTAAAGTATTTTATTCGGGTATGTACCCCGTTAGATAACCAGTGACCTCAATATTTGTAAAAAAAAATGGTAAAATTAACGAGAAAATTAAGCGTCTCGTTGATGAAAGGCATATTAATCACTTTTTTAAATTTTAACTTTTAGCGAAACTTGTTCTCATAAAGGTGTCGTTAGAAGAAGGAACCATCATTTCTGAACACACATTACCTGCTTAGAAATTATTTGTACCAAAATATTTCCAAATTAATATAAAAAAAAAATCAAAACAACTATAAAACATAACCTTAGAAAATAAAGGTTGAGATATCCAAATTTGCATATAAGAAAGTAAAGGACAGATCATCTAATCTAATAGAATGTTAGGAAACGGAAACAGATCAATACTGAAGCTTCAACAGAACAGAATGACCTAATTGCACAGAGTGGACAGAAGGGAGGCGCGACTACTTGGCCATTGGCGGCGGTGTAACGGTATTAACTTTGCTTCGTTCGGTTTTTCAACTGAGCATCTCGCCCAGCATGGTGTGCGGAGGCGTCGCGTGTGGAGAGTCGTGGGCTGCACACGTGGCTGCTCTGCACCTCTCCTATCCCTGCGTTAGAGATTATAGCTAGCGACGCGGTGCACTCGCTGCGTACACAACCTATTTTTTTCCATTTTGCCTTAAGTCAAGCAAAATGACAGGTTTCGTTGCTATGATTTAAAAAAATGAGCTGATTTATAAAAAAATATGTTTATTCCAATGTTGGAGTATTTACAAAACAATATTATCTACTAGTATTATCTACCTATCTACTATTAATAAATAGGTTCATCATTATTGATTCATAAAAGAAAAAGATGTAGTACAATATAATACTTTTATTATCATAATTCCTTTTAAAGTTAAAAATAAACTTTTGGTAAATCCAAATGTGCATGCCGTAAGCGCTTATGTTATACGTCAATTTTTTAAAGTATTTTAAATACATACTAATTTTCACAAATAGCCTTATTACTATTACTTCTAATTTTCCGATAATTTTATGTCAAACGTCTATAAAAAAAAGTTTGGAAAATCCAAAACTGCACGACTCATAATGCTCATATGATCGTGAAAAAATGTAGGAAAAAATTCTCAATCAACAATAGAAAATATATTTTTTAATTTTACTATGTTATTATTATTGAGATTTAATTTTTATTAATTATTTTTAATTGAAAAAACTTTCAACAGAATTATTTTAAAACTATCAGAAATCAACGTTAATATTACTTAAATTTTTAGGTATTTGTATTCAGGAGTCTTTTTACCGACTCGTTAATAATTTTTTCTCATCAACTTTATTTAGTTTTCAAAAAGTTTTTCATTTAGTCATAATCAGTATTTTCATTTAGCATTCATCGAAGTACACTTCGGCTCACTCACGGCGGCCGAGCCCGGGGTAAGTTAAAGTGTATCTGTATTTAGTAATATATATTATTACAAGACTGCTCGAGACACCGAAAATTTCAATTCAATTTCAATTAAACAACTTTGGCAAACATTTTAAGACAAAACGTGACTCAGTCAGTGTACATTTATACGTTGTAGAGCCACCCTGCAACTATATTACGGTTGTAGCACGAGGCTCGACCGGGGAAGGACTACGCTCTCACAGAATATCAGCGCAAAATTGCAGCTTAATACTGCTGTGTTTCATATGGTGAGTGTAAGATCTGGAGACCCTTTTTTACTGAAAATGAGGCATTTCATCTCAGTCCTAAGGGGGGAAAACGCATCTGCGTTTTGATTCTTAATCGAGGATAAATGTAGATGTCTATGGGCTACAGCATCCACTTACCATTAGGTGGACTGTGTGCTCGTTTGTCACATCACATCGTTTTTATTCTATAAAAAAACATGATTGCCGTGTAAAGATGCCGAGAGTGAATTAAATCAGGAGATGGGCAGCAACAGCCAGCTAAAAAATTAAAAGTATAAAAAATCGTGGTGCCTGCCATCCTGCCAAACATGGCAACTATAGTGAATATCCCTATGACACAAACGTTTGGGAGGCGGGTTTTTTCGCAGTTTTATTATTTTTAATTGTTATTAGGAAGGCGCGGCTGCCCATCTCCTGATTTGTTTCCCCCGGCTGCTTTTACGACAAAATTAAATCATTCCACTATTCATTAATAGGTCTATTATTTTATTAACTATTAATTTTTCTAAGAAAGCAACGCAACTGTGATTCCATTGCATTACAGTTGTTTATATAATAATAATAATAAATTCTTTATTTCAGATAATTAAAATCCATATGTGGGTTAGAAACACAATAATAATAACAACAATTATAATAACAAGGGTTAGTAAAAAAACAATGGTTTGCTTAAAATCTAGGGAAATAAAATAAATACACTGTGCCGAGACAGATCATCATGGGGGTGGATAGGGCCCAGTTATCAGTCTCTGTACAAGACATTTCCACAGCGGCGAAGTATATCTGTCCGCTACGGTCCTCAGAATGCTGTTGTGACTGGCTCGTACCCTGCTAATAAGGGATGCGGTTTTTTTTGCGTAAGATGGCATTATAACCGTCTGTTTGGTATGCCGCAAACATCCCTGCACTACAAAAACGAGGCAGTCCCAACAGCATCCTGAATATATTATTATATTTGGATGCGCAGGGCTTCAAGCGATCTTTTGGTGTATTTGACCCACAGGCTCCCCGTGTACACGCTCTGGCAGTATGCTTTAAAAAGCGTAATCTTAACTTGTTTTGTACAACGGGAAAACCTGCGAGCCAACATATTACCTCTAACCGCTAGAGCCCTGCGCTCCCTTTCGATGTCAGCATCATCCTTGAGGTCACCAGTAATAATATGCCCCAGATATTTAAATTTAGTGACTCGTTTCACGTTCATACCATTAAGGGTAACATTAACTGCAATATTGTGACATTTACCAGCGGCCTCAAAGACCATGTACTCTGTTTTATTGACATTGTATGTGAGCCCATGCTCAGTAGCATACATCTCACATACCTTTAACATTTCACTTAGGCCTCCCACCGTTGGGCTGAGCAGCACCATATCGTCAGCGTAACTTATATTATTAATGTTAAGGCCAACTATACGACATCCGACGCGTATGCCGCTCAACTCCACGATGAGGTCATTTACATACATGTTGAAGAGCTTGGGAGACGTCAACCCCCCCTGTCTCACCCCGCACTCCAACACGTATCCTTCCGACAGAGAATCAGCCCACTTTACATAGTTAGTTTGGTTGAAATACCAAAACCTAAACACTTCCAGCAAATCGGCCGGCACGCCCCCCTCCGCCAACTTTCTCCAAAGTATCTCATAGTACACAAGGTCGAAGGCCTTGGAGAGGTCAAGGAAACAGGCGTATACCGGCGTCTTGCGATCTGTGTAGTATTGGACAGTGTGCTTTAGGCTAAGGATTGCGCTTTCAGTAGAAAGTCCAGGTCGCAACCCGAACTGCGCGTTGTGTATGTTTGCATACTTATCTAATTCCGAGTCAAACACACTGTCCAATACCTTAGCAATTGCTGTTGCAAGTGATATAGGGCGGTAAGTCCCCCCTGCTCGAGATGTCACCGGTCCTGTCCTTAACAATGGGCACTACGATGGTCTTTATGAGGTCACGTGGTAAATAAGAGTGATTTATGCACATTGAGAAGAACAGAGCCAGCACTCTCGGCAGATGAGGCTCGGCGTGCCTCAGATGTTCCACACTAATACCGTCATGACCGGGGGACTTGCCACCGGTCATTCTTTTTAACGCCTCTCTAATCTGCTTTGCAGTAACGCGCATCAGTGGCCCGTCCCGCTGACATCCGGCCTTAGTACTATTCACAGATACTAAGGGCCCCAGTGGGGAACGCACTTTGAAATGTTGAGCACAAATATTCGCAATATGCACTGACTCGCTATTCCCATCAACACTCACCGGGAGGCCAGGCCTAACAACACATTTCTTGGTAGCCTTCCGAAACTGTTTAAAGTTTTTGTCCACCCTATGTTGTGCTAGCATGTCCATTTTTAATTGTTTCTGGTTTCGTTGACACCATTTTAACCGACTTTTGAACATTTTGCGGGACTCGTTCATTTGATCATACGAGTAGATCCTTCCAGATGATGGCCTATTATACGACAACCATATCCTGAAGTTAAGCCTGGCCATCCGATGCGCCTCTTGAACATGTTTGTTTCAGCCACAGAGGTGTCTGTTTTTACTTGGCTTGTTACAAGGTTTTTTCTTAGTTTTGCTAGCCGCATCACTCAAGGCACGTACAATGCTGTCATACATCCGGTCTAACACCCGCTTGTGTTCATCCAAATTGCATAGCCCGCGACTGCACTCTGTAAACTCCGATGGGAAATCAATCTCGCGTATTCTATTGTGACAGAGTTCTTGATAATTACATATTTGTTTCTGATCTCTTTCCCCCCATATTACTGAGCTAGGATGCAAGTCACGTGCT